TCTTTTAGCTTATAGATTTATCTTTTTTTTTTTACCTCTTTTTAATATTTGTGCAGAAATGCTGGATCTGTTTATGAGATTTCCAGTAAATCAAAAAGCTGATACAAAATTATTTAGCGAAAACTATTTTGAGATATGTGCATTAAATCTGTCAAAATGAGCTCTGGGAGAATAAAACGGGTCAAAATTTCTTTAACACAAAGTAAAATGAAAACATGTTTGAAAATTTTACTTTCTATTGGTAAGAGTCATAATTAAAAACACGTTAGTACATCAAAACCTAAGTCTTTATTTGAAGTCCCGAGGAAAAGGAAAGGTTTTTCTTGTCTTCCTGACAAAAGTGCTGGGCGTGATCCATCACTTCCTGTTTTGATGGAATGTATGCAGTTTGCATCTTCTGCTGGAGCGCATGCAGCTACTGCACTGCTTTAGATGGCTGCTATAACCACAAGCATGGCCTGTATCTCTGTCTGGGTTTGTCTGTACAAGGAGCAAAAATGCTGTAGGTCATGGATTAATGAAAACATTTGAATGACTTTCATAAAGTAAGCACTGGTTTGAAGTTAAGTGATTTTTGCACTCAACCCAATTTAATCTACTTAGCACAAAAAGTAAGGAAGTGTGTGTTTGGYAGATTATTTCTTTGTTGTAACAATGCTTCTTGGCAATAAATCTAATATCGGGCGCCTGATTGGCAGTACCTGAGGGTACCAGCAGTTCAAAACAAGCAGGGAAGGTTTGGTAATTTTTTCATGAGCACAACCCACATACTCAGCTCTCCTGCTCTTCCCACAAGTTCATGTTCCTTATGTGGCACCATTTAAAAGGGAAATTAACAGACTTTCCATCAGAATAATTGTTTTTGCCAAGAAGTATTTTTGCAACAAAGCAATAATCTACCAAACACAAATTTACTTACTTTTCATGCTAATTTTATTATGTGTACCTATTTGGCCATGACTAAATGGGATCAGTAAACTCAAAACTGAATCTAAATCGGCCAGTTTGACAGATATTGAGTTTGGCATGGTTGTAGCTGAGCATTGTCTCTCACACATGCAATGTGTCACATGTGTGACTTCTTTGTATAAAATATTGGCACTGGGTGCTGAAATGAATGGAAGCCAAGAGCAGCCATTTTCTGCATATAATTATTTTCCATGGTTTTAACAAGGACCGTTTTCTCAAGTTTTCGTTTTTATTTTGCGATAACAAAATAATATGTCGTTACATCGAGCAAACCATGGACGAAATCATATGCGGAAAACAGACGCTCTCAGCTTCTGTAGATATGCAAGCCTCTTCCACTGAGCAGCAAGCGGTAGTTTTTGATAAATATGTCTCACCCCGGATTTATACTGCATGCGTCTCCGCTCCGCTGCGCTGCGGTGCGCAGGTCGCAGCTGTTCGTTTGTGTCTCAATTTATACAGCGTCCGCTCCGCTCCGGTCCGACAGAGTGTGCAGGAAGGAGATCGCGCGAAATATTCAGTGATAACAGCAAAAAATAATTAATTCTGTGAAAGACAAACTCCTTTCTATGAAACCAACTGAGAGTTTCCTTGGCTTTGTGTTTGGGCTCATTGTCTTGCTGAAATGTCCAGCCACGTTTCATC